TTCAGGTCCAGGTACTCCGTGGGCACGTTTGACAAATCCGCTGCCTCCTCCTGAAACACAGAAACAGACACAGACGGACAAGCAGACACAAGACAGGACTCGTGACAGTGCTCGCTCCACATGGTGATAGAGTTCGAGCCCCAATCCACTCTGGGATTGTGCTTAACCAGCCATGGGTGGCCCAAAACAATAGGAGCTACAGGGGATTCCTTGATGAGGAAAGGAATGGTCTCTGTGTGGTTGCCGGAGGTGATGAGGGTTATGGGACCAGTAGTAAGCGAAATGTTGGGTAGCTCCTGACCATTTAACGCACTGACAGAGATCTGATGGGTGAGAGGTGTGATCGGGAGGTGTAACTTGTGAGCAAGGTGTAGGTCCATAAAATTACCCTCAGCTCCGGAATCCAGTAGTGCCTGACAGATGTGAGTGTGGTTGACCCATCTCAGTCTTACCGGAAGGAGAGTAGATGGTGAGGACTTCCCGGCGGAGATCCCACCCGATAGTAGCCTCTTCCTTACTACCGGGCTCGCTCTTTTACCGGGCACGAGTGTAGAAAATGTCCGGTTCCACCACAGTACAGGCAAAGTCCTTGGGACCGCCTTTCTCTCTCCTCCCGGGAAGGCCGAGCTCTCCCCACCTGCATGGGCTTGTGATCGACGATGGGGCCGACCGTGTTCTCCTCACCGTTGTTTTGAGCCCCAACACCTCCGGGGTTGCGGGTGTGGCGAGAGTACTGCTCCAAGCAGCTGATGCGGGAATCCACCCGTAGGGCCAGGTCAATGAGTCCATTAAGTCTCTGAGGCAGGTCCAGAATATAAATTTCCCTTTGAACACGATCGGCCACCCCATGCAGGAACATATCCCACTGCGCCTCCTCGTTCCACTTGCACTCCGCTGCCAACGTGCGAAACTCAATTGAGTAGTCTGCAACGGAACGATCACCCTGTTTGAGATCCGCGAGTCTTCTGGCAGCCTCCTTGCCAGCTACCGCCCGATCGAAGACTCTTCTCATCTCAGCGGCTAGTGCGTGGAACGAGGCGCAGCATGGGTCTTGGTTCTCCCACACCGCCGTTCCCCACAACGCCGCTCGCCCCGTGAGCAGCGTGAGTACGAATGCCACTTTGGATTCCCCCCTCTCAAATGTTCTGGGCTGCAACGAGAAATGCATCGAGCATCTGGTAAGGAACGCTCTACATAAACTCGGCTCACCGGCATAACTCTCTGGGACTGAAAGACATGGCTCAGGTAGATGACTGGGCTCCGGTGCGGGTGGGAGAACGGGTGGTGCAGTGGGAATACTCAGTTGTTGGATCTGTTGGGTGAGCTCGGACACCTGCGTCACGAGCGCTTGCACTGCGCGTCCTGTGTTGGAAATGCTCTCCTGCTGCTGGTCCATCCTGGAGACGCTGTGGTTAATAAACTCCGTCAATGATGTTGCACTTGCTGCTTCCATGGTTGGTCAGATCGTTCTGTAATGGTAAGATATAGACAGAAGCAATAGCAAGTAAAATGATGGATTATTGAACAATGGTTCACTCAGGTCAATAATAGGTGAGGCAAAGTCTCAGTAGTAGATGGTACGGGAAGCCATGAACAAGGCGGGAACACAGAGCCGGAACAACAGCCAGCAGGAGAGCGTGACGCTGGGACTGAGACGGGCGATCCTCGGATGCGTGAAGCGGAGTGATGAACCAGTGAATGAGACGAAGTGAATGAGTTTGAAACTAAGCAAACTCCAGAATCCAGTGAAAACAGGAAACACGAGGAACAGGCACGGACACGAGAAGCTTCGACAACGATCTGACAAACACAAGACGAAAGACAAGGCATAAAATAGGCTGACTGATGAAGTGCACCTGGTGCCCACATGAAACAATTAGGACGAAGGAACACACACACAATAAACAAGACCAGAATGAGGATTTACCAACCGTGACAGGTGTACTAAGTTTAATTTTTCTAGATCAAAGTGTTCAAAAGTTATAACCATTTCAATGTTGAATTTTTGAACTGGTGGTGGCGCTATAGAGTTGGTCCTAGAGACTCAAAAATTGGTCCAATTACTATTCATTACCATCACTACAAGTGTGCCAAATTTCATCATTTTCCTATGTTCCGTTGATAGGGCTGCCATTGACTCCCATTCGGGAAAAATAATAATAAGAAAACTAACGGATACAATAGGTGCCCTAGCACCTTCGGTCCTTGGCCCCTAATTACAATCAGTCCAGAACTTTACAGTGCAGCTTCAGCTTCCCTTCAGCAGAAGTATGGCCACATAATCTTGTTTTTTGGTTGTTCCTCTGTTATGTTCTTCTACCCACTTGGTCTCAGAATCCTCAGATTGAATTATTTGGTTGCCCTGGCCAGCTATTAGCCATGTTTTTTTTTCTTCTTCTCTCTTGAAATGGCAGATCCAGATCACCTATGCTATTTTGTCAAAGGGTGGAGAGCTCCCCTACAAAACTGTTTCTAAAGCTCAGCTGCTTTTCATGAGAACCTTTTATGGACTGGTCATTAGCTCTACTTTTTGCAAAACCACTTGTATTCTAAAACCTCCTCTAAAGTAGGTGTGTCGACAACATCGAAGAGGGAGGCACCGCCTAAGAACATCCTGGCATTCTGAACAAATATGAAGAGGAGAACTAGTTAGTTGTGCATTTTCTTTTTGGCTACGTAACACAAAATGACGTTGACATGAAAACTGCTCCTAAAATAATAATTTTTTAAAAGTAACATCCTGCAAATTTTTGCCATACAAAGATATCATGCATATGACGATAGTTTCCTATTGGAATGTATATCAAATAATTGCACTCTATTTAGGGATATTGTCCCACCATGGGATAGACTGGGGTGTAACCTTACCTTGGATGAGAATTCATGTTGCGAGTGGGTGAATATCCATTGACCGCCAATGACAGCAGTCTTCTACATCACACAGCAACATGTAGGCACCTTGGGGTTCGCCACAAGCCTCCTCTGTACGGTTGTGCTATTAGCAAGAGCTTTTCATGTGAATAATAATAGTAATTAATAATTCTTATTAATTCACAATGGTAACAGACATTTTATTTCACTAAGCTGATTGCTCACAATCCATTTCCATTTTTTGAAGATGGACTGCCTTCCTTACCTACTTGGACAGAACACACTTGTGATTTAGTATTTGTTTCAGCATTGAGTACACTGTTAACATTTGTAATAGAAAAAAGCCACCCCACTTTAGTTATTACTGTGGTTGGATCGACTTCAGAATCAGAAAATGCTCATAAACCTGACTTAATAAAACGTTTATGCGTTATATTGTGTCATATGAATGAGGCAATAACTTCCTTACTGTAGGCTATTGGAAATGATGGAAAATGTTTTTTAACTCATGTTGGTCCAACTAGATTAGTGAAGACATAATGCATATCATTTTTTAATTAGATGTTTAATTTGATTGAAAGACAAAACATCAAAGAACAACTCACAAAGTAGAACAGATGACTTTTTTTTCATTTTCTTAAAAATAAGACAAAATATGATGAGAGGACAATCCTTCTCTTTGAGATGGCAAAAGAAGGAAACCAAAAGGCAAAGTAGAGGTGAAAAGAGCGAAGGTGGCAAGAGTTGACGTCACCCCTCACATACTCCACTTTAAAATGCTCCGATTTGAATTTTCCCACTTCAAATCAACATTTATACAATGTATACAACAGCCCACAGAAAGAGGAAAGGAAGGGAGGATATATAAGCAGGGAATAAAATTACATTTGTACAAAAATAGATTTTTTCCCCCCCTACAATGTTTTTTTTTTTTTTTTTTTAAGGTCCTGTCTCTGTGATGACTGAAGCGGTGACTGGGTCAAAGTTTATCCTCGCTCATTTAAACGGGAAAAAAGTGGCTAAACAATAGGTTTCTTTAGATCTTTTCATTCCAGACATTTGTTTGAGGTTTTATGTGAACAAAAATGTATTCATCTACCAAGGAGCTGGTGTATGATCTTTCTTAGGGCTCTGAACTGCTGGTATCAGTCTAAATGCTGGTATCAGTCTTTCTTTCTTTCTTTCTTTGTGTTATTCAAGGCTGAACACAAAAGCTTCAGCAATTAAAAAAAAAACATTTCTAGTATCTGAGAATATAACAGTGCAATTAGGCCTGGTTTTAGTCAATTTAAGAAAAACGATAGGCTTCTTTACTAACATTGTCTGGAAACATTTAAAGAATGGATTTATATACTTTCATATTTAGAAATATACACACATTTACATATAGACAAAATATAGCTTTATGTTATAAAGCATGTATTAATTCTATCAAGGTTATCACTTCTGCATTACTCCAATTCCTACAGGAGAACGTTTTTCATCTTGATCTCGCAAACCTGCGTATGGCTTCAAGATACTGGTGATCCAAAATACTTATCCATTAAAAGGTCTGGTGAAGCCAATAAAATTCCTTTGCCACGCAAACAAGACAAGGTTAAGTAATCGTAGAGAGGCATCCTAATAAACAGCACTGACTGAAGTTGGTTGGGCTTCACTCCATCTCGAGTGATCTAAAATCATGCTATTGCTGAAGACCCTTGTAAGACTGCACTCAAACAAAAACAAACATTGATAATATCACGTAAAAGTGCCATTTTTTCCTCTGATTAAATACTTGTACAAAATTCAAGTAATGTTGCAGTGCTGCATCTCCACCACCAGGTGGAAGTCTCAGCTCTCCCATTGCCTCAGTATTCCCTACCAGTACTGCTCCACTCCTCCTGTCTATGCAAAAACCCGAATATCTCTCGACAAACTGCTGGAGACCCCAATCTTGGTCCTGGCGGTCTAACCTTGTTCACATGTGGTCTTTCATTGCCAGAATTTGAAAAACAAACTCACTATGGACAGTCTTTGGGGAAAAATGCTAAATGCATAGTTTAGCAGCAGCAGCATACAGGAAAAAAAAGAGAGAAAATGCTGAAGACGGCAAATTACAGACCCCGAAAACAAATGAAACCTTTAAAAAAAAAAAAGGCCCCGAAACCTCCATTCTCTCAAAACAACACAACATCTGAAACATGAGGTTAAGTGCTTAGAAACATCCTAATGATAACACACACTTGCAAGACTTGACTGCATGAGACGGCTGGTGCAAACGGCAGAGGATGGGCGACACAAAGGACTCGATATACCTTGATAAAAGTGACTGAAAGAGAGGTAACGGCACACGTTTTGAAAAATCATTCAAAAAAAAGAATAATACAGGATACCAATACTGAATTGGTTGTAATAAACTGTACAAGTGTCGAACAAGTTCGGAAAATCACTTGAGGTGAATTAGTATACAGACAGACGAGACTCACAGTGGGACATGTGGGCGACTTCTAGGTGGCAGGATGTCCACTATAAGTGTCCTTTGTTTACCTTATTCACGTTTCGGCATCATGAGCTCTGAGAACAGGCAGATTGGTTTTTTTAAAAGCTCATGTTTCGAGTGCATAATGAAAAAGTGTGAATGATCATAATCCAAAACTCAAAGTGGCTCATTAGACTTAGAATCTACTCACAGCGACCTCGGGCATCCCTTCCTTTCTGATCCTGAAGTTGCGTCCTTATTGTGTCTACTACCCACACCTGATTACACTGGGGGTGAGCTTGGAGAACCAACGCGGCCTGTGATTCCTCCCTTGGGTCCTTCGTTCAGAGCAACCTCACTTTTTAAATGACAGTAATTACAGGAACATTCTATCAGGAACAGCCCACTTGAGGGAAAAATGGCAATTGCAGCAGGATTGTAATCGCAAAAACTCCCACCAGGGGCTGAAAACACAATGTTTGTGTTAGAAACCCAGATCATTACCCCGCATTGCCATCATAATCATCTCCCATAAGTCTTCATGCGCCCAGAAACGGCAGCCCAGCCTCAATCCCGAATGCAAGACTGCTAAAGTCGGCCCATCCATCAGCCACATGAGGCCGATTACAGCCATGGATCCCTCCCATAGGACCCATTATATCCCAACATACACGATCCTGCGCAAGACATTCCTGCAATTACTGCATCTCCATCAAATATATTCTTTTTTTCCATTTTTTTTTCATATTTATCCATTGAAGGATAGATACACCGGTGTCCAGTATTGTCTATGGGCTTCAAGTCCATTGTCATCTTTTTTTTCTTATGCGTAATATATATATATATATTTATATCTTTATACAAAGTATAAAACAGACCCATGGACTCCATGACTGTGTATTGGAAACGCTGAGTTGAGCGGTGGTTCTGAAAGTCCGTCTGCTCTGGCAAATGGTGTCACGTGTTCCGTTTCTTCAGGGCCTTTGGGGTGGTAGACCCTTGTTACCCCCAGCGACAGGAGGGCGTTATGTCATTGTCATTTGGTGGGGCGCCTCTAGCATCTCCATGAGGAAGGTGTCGATGGGTGTGTCCCCTATGAGCTTGAAGAAGAACAGATGCTCCAAACACTTCAGTCCAATGGAACGCAGGGCAGGGAGCCGCAGCAACAGCTTAGCAAACCTGCACACAAAATCACAAATAATCAAACGTGTAAATAAAAAAACAAGACAGATATACAATTAAACTGATATATCTTTTTTTTATCTGTCCTTGATACGGCTGACAACCAGTTAACCTTTGAATTTGGACAAGACCTGAGAAGTATGAAGCTATGAAACTTTGGTGCCTTTTCTCTGCAAATTTAAATCAATCAAAAAGCTGCATCATAATACAATATTATCTTTTTATTGATAAAGGTATTATTCAAGTTTTTTACTATTTTTTATAAATATGCTACTTGTGATGTCATTCTGCATCCAGGTCTTCACTGCAGTGGTGCAGAAGGACAGGAAGTGGTTCTTGTACCTTCCAGGTTGTTCAGGGTACTTCTGTTTGCAGTAGGCTTCCAGAGAGGCATAGACCTTCTCTCTCAGCGCCTCCACCTCACCAGGGTTCGACAGGCCTTTGGAGTCTGAAATAGAAGAGGATGTATAGCAAAGTTACGTTTTGGAGTAGGAATTGAACCATCCTGCTCCAGCGCACCCTCAAAGAGAATGGTGTTCTAACGGTTTAGATTTCTTCAAAATACTGAACTGTTCTAAATAAGAAACGGGTCGGTTCTGGATTCCCAACACTAATCCTTCTTCAACTCAATCTGGTACTCTGAAAGAGGCTTCTGAGGAGCCTCTAATTGGGAAAATAAGAGCTGTCTCTTTTCCCCCTCTCTATAAAGTGAAGGGAACAGAGGAGAGGTCTGTCCTCGGAGAATGAGCAATGCGCTCAGTGAATGAGAGATGCTTTAGCGTACGTGATTGGGGGGGAGGGGTTATGTTTACTGTGGGATACAAAGGCCACTGGTAATAAAAAAAAAACATTGGACAGATATAGTGGAGATAGAGAGGAAATTGAGCAGTAAGAGAGGGAATGGGGACAGGACACATCACAGGCTGGACATTCCATAGCAATTTCAAGAACTTGAACTACAGAAACAATTTTTCGACCTGTAGTGTCAGAAAAAGGAATGTAAAGTAGCACCTGGGTTAAAAAGGACGATGGCTCGAAGGCACCCTAGCTCTGTTTTATCCATCTGCATGTCTCTCATCTTTGACACCAACTCTGTCAGCACCCTGAATATAAGAGAAAACACACAGGTTAAGACTGAAAAACAGCTGCCGAGAAATGAGACTCACACGGGCAGATATTATTCCATTACTGCTTTGGCGGGCAGCAGCTCTTAAATATAAATATCGCCTCAATAAAATGTCTAAATTGGCATGACTTCCTCTGATCCAGAGGGTGACGTCTCCTCTGTCGATCTTGGCCTTTGCGTGACCGGGTGACGGAACACACACTGGTGCGATGCAACCTCGTTCCCACTCTTAACACACTGTAATTGAATTGGCCTCCTGGAACAATGAGCGGAGGGGTGGGGAACTTCAGCCCAGTGTTTAAGTCGACCATCCACTTCATTTGTGCCATGGCTGTCACTTGCAGAGGACCTGATAAAGAAACATTATCAGCGCCGCGCATCTTAATGCGAGCGGCATTAACATCGAGATCCATTCTTCCAGAGGAGTCGAGTGTATTCTAATGGCTAAAGCAGCCTCTGGGCGGTGAGAGGCGAGTGGAGTCTTCAACCACGGTCAGGTGACACGGCTGCAGGGGATGTCAATGTTCCAATTACCATTAATACAGTCGTGATTAGTATTTCGGTTTGGTTTTCAGTCAAATTATCTTGAAGATAAATTTCCTCAAACAGAAACGTGTAGGATTGTTTTCAGTGAATATCTGTTTCAAACATAAACGTTAGATTTATTGTTTAAAAAAAGTTACTCATTAACAAATGAACGCATCACTTATAGTCTAATCCTAAACAGCAATTATATATATTTGCCTTTAGTTTTTACTTTTTACCATTGCTATTCTTTATTCATTTCTACCTAAAGCTACTTCATTATTGGGAATGCTGAACAATGCATTTCACTTGCTGTGTTTTCATCCAAAGTTGCGAAATTAACTTGGAATATCGCATAAAACATTTGCGAATTAAGCAACGTTTTTGTCCCATGTGTTCAAGAGAACAAAGTTGTTACTTCCTGGGAAATTGGCACAAAATAGTTGTAATAAAAATGAAAGATGCTGCAATCGGGGAATCCACTGTGGCTCTTTTTTCCTACATCATAAATGACTTGTGTTTCAGAGCGTGCAGGCAAAACCCAATAAACGCTTTAATGTTATCTGGCTTTCGGATTCCTGGTGTTTGGACATGCAATCATGTGAGACGCTTCTGGGAGGGAATTAAACCAAATCAATTTGATGACAGACTTCGGCTCAGGCATTTCAGAATGATCAAACCAACATTAAAGATGATGTACAATGAAACTGATCCACTGGTTAGTCCAGTTATCCAATCACATCCTCTGTTGAGGAAAAGTCACATGAGTTTTTTGTTGTGCATTGAGGAATTTATTCGGTAAATGTGTTTCCATCGTAGTTTATGCGCATGTCTTTTTATCAGATAAAAAATTATCCGTAAATTTATGCGCATCTTGGCATTCCATCTAGTGTTCTTTTTTAATGCAATATCCTAAAATTTGCATAAACATAGGTGGATGGAAACATGCTGTTGTCAACAAGCGGCGCTGCTGCGTTGTTGTACACTTGACAACTAAACTTTGTACTCCGTAACACCACGGCCATCTTCAAACCTTATCTGGGTTTAGATCTGGCCAATCAAAAAAGCTAGTATAACAGCATTGCTCAGGTTTGTGTGGGAGCAGATACAGTGTAAAGCCCATGGCGACATTGGGTGTATCCGCTATATTTTTTGATTTCATCATAAATGACACACAAATGGATTTCCTTTAACATTTTCTGTCTGAGCACTCAACCATTTCTGCATGACCTCTGTTTCCAGCACGGCTGCATATTTAATGAATATCGATGTAAATCCATAGAAAGCTCCACTGGCAGAAATGTCAAGGTTCCTCCTCTGTCCTCGTCATGAACATTTCCAGTGTGACCATCTCTTTGTGCAGTTATGCATGTATACGTTCCATATTGTTAAAGCTTCAAAATATATTACCAAAAATAAAATATTATGTTTCATTCAATTTCAAATTTTTCATATATTTCTTCATAAAAAGTATATAAAAATACACACACAAACATATATGAACATACATTTTGAAATTGAATGAAAAATGATGTTTTTTTAATATAGTATATACACACTTTACATATATTTCGTAATGAAAAATATGTTTTAAAAAACACACAAATGTGTAAAAAAAAAAAATCTAAAAACATTGTACTATATTTTTATTTATTCTTAACCCTTACCAGGTTTTGATCGGTTGGTCAAATCGTCCACAAATTTTCAGTGGACCAAAATTAGAAGTATCATTCGAACCTGTCAAATATGGCTCCTACTCCGGCACTGTGGGCGCTGTTCCGGTGCACGTGTAATCCCGTGGCCAACAGTATCCCGTCCTTCACTGTTATCGAACGATGTGAAAATGACGCAATGAGGAGCTCATTCCATCCTGAGAGAGACAGGTGAAATCATGATAAAACATTCCACACCATGAGAGTGAATTAAGCAAATATCGGAGTGACAGGGCTCCTTTAACTAGTCTGCCTAGCAACTACCCCACTCCCCTCATTTCCCCAGAGTTGAGCTTGGGAAAAACTGAGATGCTTTCATCCGTGAGACAGCAGAACTAAAGGGGTTATTTATAGAAAACCTGAGAGCTCAGAGAGAGAACGAGAGAAGACCCTCTCAACATGTCCTTCATCTTGTTCTGGGTAGAGAAGTATGACTCGCTAATGGAACGGGCCATAAAGGAAATTAAAAGCAAAGCAGTTCATTGAACGGTGGTCTACAGAGCATCCATGTGTTCAACCCATACTTTGTCAACTTCTTAGAAACATAGAAACTTTCCCCCTTTTCAATATTTTACATTAGTTTTTAGTGCTTCTCTTAAGCCTTACACCACAACAATCATGACACGTTTTGCTCTCCTCACCACATAAATGAACTTCATATGAACAAAACCAGACAGCATTTTTGAGGATTAAAGGTATGTTCAGCATCTAGAGCAGGGATAGGCAACATCGATCCTGGAGTGCCGCTGTCCTGCAGAGTTTAGCTCCAACCCTAATCAAACACACCTTAGCAAGCTAATCAATGTCTTCAGGATTACTAATGCTAAAGGCAGGCGGAGTTTATATCAGGGTTGGAGCTAAACTCTGCAGGACAGCGGCACTCCAGGATCGACGTTGCCTATCCCTGATCTAGAGTCTTGTCCAAGTAGCCAGAGTTCTACAGTGTTGTCTATGTAGGCAGCACACTAGGTTTTAAGACATACTGTATAGTTTATTAACAAGTCATTTGAATGGTGCTCAAGACACTTAAAGGTGGAGGTCATTGATTAGATTGCAGTAGCAAACGCAAAAATTCACAAAAATCATTTTAAATAATAAAATATGGATAAGTTCAAAATGAAGACAATGTATCAAATGTCAAATGTAAGTGGAACTTTTAAATAATAAAAAAAATCAGTTCTGAGAAAAGTGATTATTTGATTACATTAGCAGATAACCCTTTTCATATTGTGTATCTAATGAAATCACATTTTGGGAAAGAAATGAAGGCATTTTTGGTCATATCACATTTCGAACATGTTATCTATAGATGAATGCTAAAATGTTTTCTTAAGGCCCGTTCACACCATCGGATGATATCGATCTGTTTATTCTAAGTGTGCACTGTCATTATGTAATCTGTTGCTTAAATGCTCAAGCTCTTTAAAGCAGGATGGATTCTGATTGACTGCCAATGTTTTTATCTTTCATCAGCTGGAAAACGTCATTCTGATAAAATCTGAAAGTAATTCCAACTATATCATTTCTCTGTGCCGTAATCGTTATAGTTGTGGTGTGGACACTGCTATTCTTTTATATTTAGAATGATTTTTAAAACTATATCTTTATCATTATCATTATAGTTATCTCCCTTGGTGTGAACGGGGCTTAAGGCGGCAGCTCACTAGGTTTTGAAACAGTCTTTTAAAAACAAACAAACTTAACTGCCTTTAGGGAGTTTTTTGTTGTTGTTGCAATTTCAGGCAATTTTAGACCTTTAAAAACACATTTAAAACCTAGCATGTCATCTAAGCAGGCAGAATGCTACAATGTAATCTAGATAGAAACCAAACTAGGTTATGAAACACATCCGTAGTATCTGCATAACTTTCAATTCAACACTCCTAATTCTGTATTTTACATTTTAATGAACTGGTCCTGTTTCTAGCCGAGAAAGCCGTTCTGGTAACACTTTACTTGAAGGGGTGTACATAAGACTGACATGACACCTTCATAACCATGACATGACATATGTCATGAATATGAAGTAGGGTTTATGGATGTTTATGACAACTGTCATTAAGTGTCTTTCGCTCAATAATGACATTTTGAATGCAAATATGACATTGTTTAAGATGTCTTTGTTATGACACCTTGACATAAACCATAACATCATAACCTGTCAGTGTCTTTGTCATGACAACTTGACATTAAATTAAGTTAAACTGTCATGTGGTTGGTTTTGACATTGGCTGTCATGATCCCATTATAACTGTGTCATGAATATTTTCCGTGACCTCAACTACAGTGGTACAAATTGAATTTGTCATTAAACAGTTATAATGGCTTCATGACAGCCAATGTCAAAACCAACCACCTGACAGTTTAATGTAATGTTAACCAATAAAGCTAAGTGGTTTCTTAAGTTTGATAATTAATCTGCTATGTCATGTTTATGACAGGTTGTGTTGTCTTAGTAATGTCAAGTTCTCATGACAAAGACACTGACAGGTTATGATGTATTGGTTTATGTCAAGGTGTCATAACAAAGACATCTCAAACAATGTCATATTTGCATTAAAAATTTCATAATTGAGCGAATGACACTTAATGACAGTTGTCACAAACATGCATACAACTTCCTTCATATTCATAACATGTGTCCTATCATGATTATGAAGGTGTCATGTTAGTCTTATGCACACCCCTTCAAGTAAAGTGTTACCGCCGTTCTTTATGTGTGCTTCTGTCAGTTTGTGCTCTTAAATTCACCTGCTCTTAGAAGAATGACCTGGTCGTCCAGCGGGAGCTCAGAAAAATGCGGGATCCTCTTGGCCCATTCCACTAGAGTGAAGAGCTGCTTGTCTGCGGCCTGACAGATGTTTGTGACTGGATCATTGGGCTGTTGGAGGACACAAGAACACAAGTGTCATACACGTGGCCCATCTAAATCTCTAGACATGTGTTTGATTTCTCACATCGTTGTGTTTTAAAATGTATCAGAATGCAATTCAAGTACACATTGTAATCTCAGTGTTGACACAAGGGGCGCTATAGTGAGCATTACCTTAACCTGCCATCGTCTTCAGTCAGTTTTCTCTTTCAGCTCAACTACTGTCATGCTGGGGCATGGTTAAAGTTACTTGAACTGTTGACATGTTTATGGCTAGCTATCTGTTTAACGGCACAGATATTTCAGGGTTACTTTATCACCCTCTTGAATACTTCTGCTCTCCTCGGCCTCACACATGGGGAATAATCCGCTTGGAGCAGAAGTGAACAGGAAGGCAAAACAAACAGTGCTTTTGCCCCGGCCTGCGCAGGAAATACCTGCCGAGAGCTGGTGCTAAAAAATGACTCTCTTTCTAATCGGGCGTTTCCTGCAGGAAGCCCCCTGGAACTAAATTCACTTTGACATACTTGGCCATTTCCAAACATTTACGGAATACTGCTAAATTTTTAAAAGGACTCAAACAAAGGGTTGTCGTAAAAAAAAAAAAAAAAAAAAAAAAAATCATGCATTGTTCTTGAAATTGCCATTGTGCAGAACGTCACACGAGGGAGTTTTTGTACGGCAAGTAGCCTTTAATGTCTCCTGCAGATTTGAGTCTATTAGCACGTCTCGATGCGGAACGCTCCGGCTCCATCAAAGAGAGAGGACAAATGAGAGATATGAAAAATGGCATAGATGATTCCAGCTTCACGTTCGTGAAGCCAAGGGAGGGGTAGATACGCTGCTTTGTTTTATAAGATGAAAGAGTGAGTCAACGGCGTGCGGGAGAGAGGGAATGAGCGCAGAAGAGAGAGGAAAGCAGCAGGAGAGGGTTTTCTGTAAGGACGAGAACAAATAGACATTGAGTGCCGTTTCTCAACTCAAGTGTCAAAAAGGAAAGGCATTAGAAAACATCAACAGGACATTGCAATGGGTGAAAGGACAAATAGTTTTTTAAGAAAACAAACAGAGGGGGAGAAGAATTATATCAATATTTATCAAAATTATTGGTGGGAGGGTGTGTGTGCATTCCTGGAAAATCCTGACCTCACTTTTGGCAGCCTGCTAGATTCACTCGGTGCATTGCAGGAAGTTTATTAATAGGTTCGACACAATGACACCACAATTATGAGTCAAGAGCTTTTGAAATGGTCAATATATCAGTTGCAGTCACTCAAACAGCCTCATCTAACACACAAACGTTTTTTCTTGTTTCATGATGGGGACTTTCCATTAACATTTTTATACTGTACAAACTGTATATTCTATTCCTCAACCCTAAACCTACCCAATCACAGAAAACTTTCTAAATTTGAACCTTTCAAAACACATCACTTTGTATGATTTATAAGCTGTTTTCCACATGGATATTGCCATTTTGCCCCCATAACGTAGGGTTTACATTAATGTTTGACCCTTCTCAGACCAGGCCTGAACAAGCTTGAAGTGTTTCAGATGCGATGCTGGCTGCGACAGATAGTGCGAGAATCACTTCGCAATTGTATCCAGAATGTAGTCATCCGTCAGCGATGCGAGCAGCAACCGACGATAGAGGAATAGATACAGCAACGGCGGTTGCGATGGTTTGGCCACGTCTGCAGAATGACCGATAACAGATTACCAAAACTCCAAAATCATTGTATTTGCAGATGCCTTTTTTTTTGTTAATTGTGTATCTAATAAAATGTCCAAATACTTGATGAGACCACTTTGTGGCCATTATTAGATGCAAGAAACATCTCCACAGTTGGAATTTGGGAAATGACTACTCCCGGGAGAACTTGTCAAAGAGTTGAATGTTTCCCCTCTATGGTATTTAAGTGGCTGATTAAAACTTGCACTGACAACAGCAGCAGATCAAAGGCAGAAGTTGGAGATGGCAAACTGTTAGCCAGACGCAAAGCCATCTCTCAGAAAACAGATGCAGCTTATGAATATTTCTGTGGCTGATCAGGGACGATCCTCCTTGGTGCAACAGTTTCTGCCATGTTCTTTACCACATACATAAACAAACAGATAATTAATTCACAAAGCAACAATATAAAGGAAAGCAAAGTGGTGAAGAGAACCTCTGAAGATGCTCCTCAAAAGAATACATCTCCCTGAGTTCTTGTTAAACACGGTAATACTCATGAATGATGAATAGCCATCTTAGCTGTTTACACTGACCTTGTTTCTTCACTCAAAACAATCAAAAATAAAAAAAGGTGCAGTAAGCGATTTCTGAGAAACAATGTTGATATTTGAAATCAACCCAAACAAACAAAACCCTTGTTTTTTCAGTGATAGTCCTTTTCTCTTTTGTAATGTCTCTCAGCCATGTCTCTTTCTACAGTCTTTCTTCAAATATCCCTCTTGCTCACTCTCTCTCCTCTCCCATCATAAGTGGACACGCCCCCTACTGCTGATTGGCTACAAGTGTGTTGTGGTGCTCGGCCCGATCCACTTTCAACAGCGTTTCTCAGAAATTTCTTACTGCACCTTTAACGTGCTTAACAAATATATCGATTATTGGAAAGAAAAATAAATCATAATAAACATATTTAATGATTTCAAACAAATTTTTGTGGGGATAAAAATAAAAACACATTAATTAATAAAAATTAACTAAATATAAATGTGATAAATAAAAAAAGAATCTGTACATCAATAATGATTCTTTTAATGGCCTCTTTAAATGACAATGCAAGCTTCATAAAGTGTGCAAATACAATAATATGGTACTATAGGTCAGGCTTAAAATGCACCACTCCATTTTTAAGCAATATGTAACTAAGTGGGGTTCATCTCCCCATCCTGAGAGGTTGATCTAGATAAAAATGTATCCAAGTAACAGAAAATAAGTGGTTGATGGAGGAGGTAAAACCCACCATGAATGATTTCTATAGTGTGAATAAAGCCAGCCATATGATTTGCTTGAGACTTGGCAGCGCGGGGCGAATGCTAGCCCCAGGGCGCGAATGATGACGACTTTTTAAGATTCGAGGAGACGCTTTGATAGCATTCTCTTCATGACCATCACAAAACAACGGCTGTTTTTGTTCCCGCTGAATGGAAAGCATTCGGCCTGCATTATTCACGGCGGATCCTGGTCCCGGGCTCTAGCAGAAACACCACGCTTGCATATCGCACTATGAAATTTTTATCACTTGAGGAGGAGAGATGAGAGACGGTTGAATTTTTCATTATCTGCTTAAACTATATTATTGTTGCGTGACAAAAGAGAGGAAAAAAGGCAGTCTGGATTTACAGCTGTGTGAGACGAGTGAGACGTCTGCGAGCTCACGTGACATATCTGTCTCAAAAACACTTCCTGTGACTAGAGATGCACACATACATCAATACAATACTGGTTACTGGCCAATAACAGGTTATTAAATCCATCTATAGCTCTATGTGTGTATATATATATATATATATATATGGAAATAATTATTACCAGTATCGGACTGAATTTTCCAATTCAAATCAATATTTAAACAGACATTGAATAAGCTGCCAGGGTTATCAGCAAAAATCTGTTGTTAATTTGACCTGATAAACACATTTAAAGGCATTTATGCTGCCTTTTTGTCAGGTTTCCAAGCAGAATCAGTGCATGTACACGCTCAACGTTGTCTGAACTAAATGTTAGAATGGAAAATGAAAAAAAAAAAAAAAAGAGAAGTGAAAAACGAGCAAGCGTGACCGTGTTCTCCTCTAAAGGCAGCCCTACCCTGCCTAACTGGAGGCATGTTACTAACGCCTGTTTAACTCCTGTTCTAGGTCACCATGAGATAAACACACTTCATTCAGCTTGGCCAAACCCCAACCATTAAGCAGCAGTGGTGGCCCATTCATGAGCTGCACTCCCGGGGCCGAGGTCCTCTGATTAATTAGTGCACGGGGCAGTGGATTCCAAAAGAGCACAGACAAGGAGGGGAGCTCCAGGGACAGCGGGAGACCATAACTCTGACAGCCGGCCAAGAGAACATATTCCAGTAAAGTGTCTCCCTGCTGCTGTCCAACTCTGAACTGCATCATTATTATTATTATTTATTTTAAAATCCTGTTCTAAACCATCATCTACAGCCAGCAGGATGAGTTAGACTGAGCTGAGTTTAGCTGAGAGTTGTGGCGTTTTGGCTCTGCCTGGCAGCTTAACGAAGGTAAAAACTAATGACACTTTGTGTGGTGATTTCAGGACATTTCCGGATGGGGTCCAATCTTTGCATTTTAAATTTAACGAGGAGGTACTAGATTGGCTTCACAGAAAAAACATTATTGAGGGCATGGGACAAACAAAATACCCCATGGTTATTATTAAACTAGTAAAATAAAATAAAATAAAATGATTCCTTAAAACTACAACTATATAAATCACAAACCAAATAGAAAAATAGAATAAAAACTACTTCTGAAAGGTGAAATATAAAATATAATAACTACTTTAATCGCAAAGCTAAATATAATTATGCACAATAATAAAAGAAAATACTGAAAAACAACAATAACCCCTTGGTTCACCCCAGCACTCACAAAACGAGCCCTCTACTGGAGATACAGTGTAATGAACCAAACAAAGACAGCGAATCAGTGACTGAGTGCTTTCTAATGTAAAGCCTGGCAGCTTCTCCCACATGACAGGCCTTATGTTCTCCCTCGTCTCGCTACCTTTCCCCAAACGTCGGTCCTCTGTTCCCACACATCTTCATCTTCCCGAAATAACCCCCATTTACTCACATAACAGCTTCCAGAACATTTTCGCTTCGGTACAGAGCAGTCCCAAAAGACGCACTCAACCGCCCAAACTCTCTCTCTCTCTCTCTCTCGTTCTCTATCCTCCTCCTCCTCTCCTCAGAGGCTGACGGCAGGCTGAAAGCTCCCAGGGACTGTCAAGAGTATTTCATTATTCAAACAATGCTGGAAAGTGGAGCCAATGATCACTTTAGCGGTGCTGATTTATCATGGTGACTAGACGAGGGAGGGAGACTTCACAGCACACAGGTAAATTCAACAACTTTATCTTGCTCTGCTTCTCTCAGGGAATTACCAACAAAAACTCCATTAAAACAGATTAAGAAGTTGGATGCGTATCCTGGTGGTTAACGTACGTGCTCTAACAAAAAAAACGTTAGAGTCACAGCCTAGCGGTTAGTGCACATTTCAACACTTTCAGCTGCAAAAAGTAGGAGTGATAGACAACTTAGTGCACATGCATCAACATACTGAGCAGTAAGAAGGTGGACTCACGGCCTAGTGGTTAGTACTAGGTCTGTCTCACTCTCAATATCACAACACGATTGCAGTGGTCAAAATAATTAATGATAACGATATCCATCCACGTTGTTTTGCAACGTAAAAGTAAGTAACGATTTTCTTGTGAATGTGTGAGACTTCCAATTAATTAACTGCTATGCGTAAATATCAAAAGTGCAGTAAACGCTAAAACTATATGAGCTACAAACCAGTGTTTATAATTATGACAATACATTAAAATATGATAACAAACACCAGTCTGCAATATCAAACAACATAACAAGCTGATTTGTACAGCTAAAAATAACTGGAAGAATGGAGTTACAAATATACGTTAAAAATAAGGTGAATAGACATTTTGAAGAAAAACAAACAACAAAATCAAGAAGTAAAATTCATATTTAACTGTTTATTTTGTGCTTTTTATTGGCAATGACAAAATATGAGTGGTGAAAGGCGGAAAGAGAGTTTGTAACCATAACTATAAAAAAGCGTGCAAAAAGAACGTACGGTTCGGCACCTGCAGGCTGGGGTGTCTACGGTGTCTATCACCTATTTTTTTTTATAGAATACAAAAAAACTGACACATTGATGTCACATAAGTGAGCTTTGTTTGAATGCGGGTAGTGTGTAGTCTGTAGTGCTTTCGTCTGTCAAGGTGGAATACTGCCACCTACTGTGTTGGAGTGTCAACAGCTGGATTATTTATGATATTATTGTATGTGTAGTATTAACATGATATCAATATTTCATTTTTTAAATATCACATTATTATCAATAGTTAGTGCAAACGATCTGACTCATTCCAAAAAAAAAGAAAAGAAAAAGTAATATTGGCTCATCATCCCCTCCTTCAAATCATTTCCAGGCCTACTTCCACTACACCCTTCAAAACAGTGGAAAAAAAGCCAGAATATTTAGAAAATAGAGGAAATATGAGACTGTAAACTTCATCAGTCAATGTAAGTCAAACCGAAACAAAGCTAATAAGCAAAGAGTGTACTCTTTCATTGATTTGTAATTCAACAGGGGACAGGTGAAAAAACAGCATTACAACAAAGGGAAAGAGCAGAACTGATAGGTGAACAGCAATAATGAGCAGTTTCCAAGCAATGCTTCACACTGCAGTAATTGGAGAAAACAGTCTTTCTTTGGAGACATGCACTATGACGTCACGTATGTCCAAACACGGCTATCAACAAGCTAAATCACTTGCATTACACCAAAACAAGCAGAGACAGAGAAGAGCCGTCGTACAGGCAACACAGCATATGGCTCAAGACATCTTAGCTCTGGGGTTTCTTCAATGTCTCAAGTTGTTCTTAACTAGGCCCACACTAAATCTGCCCCCACAGATTTACATAGAACTGGAGCATTCCATGTTCTTTACTGTATATCATTTTGCTGTCGAGTATTGGATTATTAGATATGCTTTTGCTAATCTTTATTGACAGAACAAAAGTGAAAAGAAAAAGGTGCGCAAATCCCTAGTGCTAACCATTGCTCCAAAGCTCCAACATGCAAAATGATTCTTCAATGTACCTCACGGGTCTCAAGTATACAGGGGGTTCTAAATGTTATCATGGTGGATAGAAAACCTGAGGCTATTCCGTTCCACAGGCTTTCCAGTGCACAAAGAGGAAGCGATGTCACTTACTGAATCTGAAGGTATAGGTACATTGGTCTCAATGTAAGTCTCTGTTTTGGGCTCCACGGCAAGCTCTGCTTCCAGGATCTTCTCCACGGGCATGTCTTCATTCACGCTGCTGGTCGACTCCACCTCGTTCTCGTTGCGTTCCTTGGCTCGCTGGCGCTCCTCCTGGACGGCTGTATGTAACAATACTAGTCACGGTCACTACAGTTAGTCTAATCAAGAAGTCAACACGCATACACACTCACATCAAGCTGGTACTCTAATAAACTACATCTCAGGTTTTAATAATTTTTGACCCCCAAATATGATGGACTCCCAAGGAAAATATGAGGGACCCCATGAAAAAAAAAAAACTAATTTGCTTATATATTGTTATTCAAGTCAAAGCAAATTATTCAAACATTATCAGGTAAATATTAACTTGTATTAGGTATATATTTTATACACCCTTTATTTTTCAATCTATTCGAGTGTTAGATGTATAAACCTGAAGTGAAATATATATATAATATATATATGTGTGTGTGTACTGATTTCATTTCCAACTTTGTTTTTAGCATGACAGAATGTGATGTAACATGTTTCTTGTCTCTGTGGGTTCCTCCAACAGGCTTTAACAGATCAGACATTTGACTAGCACAGAGAACAGGAAGTGGTTAGTGTTGAACAGTCACTCAGTCTCACTGTGGCCAGAGCACTATTAACCACAATCCAAGCCCCTGTGGTTAGAGTGTGTATGTGCCGAGCACAGTTCACCCAAAAGACTCTGAACCCAGGCCCTATTCAGAGCACATTCACATTCTCCTTTCCCTAACCCCTCGCTATTTTCCTCAACGGCAAATCACAGAGGGACCGCGCTGGTGGTAGGGGTTCAGAAAAGGGGGATTCTGCTGTACGGAAAGTGCTGTCTGGAGGTCAGCCCAAGGGTAAAATACCTCTTCAGGAGTCAAAGAGAGGTGAGAGGGGCTGAAATCACGTTAGCTTTATTTCCCCTGGAGAGGAGGAGCATAAATTCATTTAATCCTGTTTTTCTGCAGATTCGCTCGGCTCTTTTTGGGGGGAGCGTGGCCCAGCTCTCCCGTGCCTCGGGGTACGGCACGAGCTTATGGGATACAAAACAGGCGAACGCAAGCAAATGATCATATCCTTGAAAGACGCCGTGATGATATAAGTAACGGAGATGAAAGGTTGCACTGAGGTCATAGACAGTGTGTGTGTGTGTGTGAGAGCGAGACGTCATGTACGTATGATCGCAGTGCTCCCTTCGTCTACAGGGGGAGGATTTTCTCTCTCACATGAAACAAGGGCTAGAGAGTCACGGGCAGATGTGGACTGTATGTTGGCTATGCAATCTAGCTACAATATATAATTTACAGTATATGGCCATCTGACTTGCAAAGCTTACTGATGTTTTAAACATCTTTATAAATGTTTAAACTTATAAATGAATATATACATTAATTGTACTATATATTATAGAATTGTATCCTATATAGTGTGTATATATATATATATATATATATATATACACCTCTCTCTCTCTCTATATATATATATATATATATATATATATATATATATATATATATATATATGTGTGTGATGTGAATGAGCGTTTGAATGTGGAATTATTTATATAGAGTATCCAACACCTCTACACCCCCTTCTAAAACGACAAACAAAAAGCACACATTAACAACAATCGTGTGTGTGTGTGTGTGTGTGTGTAAGCATGTCTATATGTGAATGGGTATATGTGCCACATTTAGCTACAGAATAGTTAATTGGTTCCACCTTAAAAACTGAAGACTAGTCTCGGCAGACAAAATATTTCCAAAAACAACACTGATATCTCATGAATCTAAAATAATTCTCTCTGACTGAGGGGCAAAATATAGTCTCTCAGATCAATATTCCACCAGCTATGTGCTAAAATCTTCTATTAGCATGCTTCTCCTTTTCTTGGGGACAAGTGTGCAAAAAGTGCTAATGCCCCCTTTTCTTCAGTGTGATAACCCAACCCTCACTTCTCCCTCTCTTTCATCTTTCTCTGCCTCAGGTGATGATTTGGGAGACAAGATGGTCTTCTATATTTAGCGACAAAAAAGCCTATCTGAAAAAAAAAAAAAAAAAAAAAAAAAAACATACCATCTTGTATCGATTAACCATTTCCTGTTTTCTCACAGTATGTGGCGAAGTACACTACCTGGAATCTCGAGGATAGTCACCGTTCCTCATGCGCATCATGGACTCGTTGACTGATGTCTCAGCGTGAGATAATGCAAGCACTAATTAAGTGCTGACCTGCAGTCTGACTATTAAATGGCTGATTGCAGTAATATGAATGTTTCTTCTAGAGTCACACAGAGCTGAGATTGAGTCTAATAGTGAGGGGACATGGAGTGCATAAAACATCTCGCCCCATGGTGCAAAAGCTCAGGTCAGTCAGTGCAAAAAACGATGGACTCCTTCAACCAAGTCCTTTTGTACTAACATGAAAGGATGCTAAAGGGGTGTTTACGTGGGATTCATTTTAATGAGAGCTGGTGGAGTGAATAGTACTATAAATTTTGAGGGTGAGAAAGAAGAATCATCTATCCTCAACTTTATGTGCTGTACCTTCTCTCTTCATGCCCATGGCCAAACACTTCTGATAGCGGCAGTACTGACAGCGGTTGCGCTGGCGTTTGTCGATCATACAGTCCTTGTTGTCTCGACAAGTGTAGGTCAGGTCCTTACGCACAGTCCTCTTGAAGAAACCCTTGCATCCCTCGCAGCTGTACACACCGTAGTGTTTACCTGTGAAAAAAAAACAAAAACAAGCTTTAGTCTTAAGGGTTATATTCAGGTCTACATTGGTAATAATTCATGGATCACACTTTTGGGACTTGATCCTTCAACCTTTCAACTGAAGTGTGTTGAAGTAACAACTTCTATCCCATCTTAATATTCAGAGACAACTACAAGTATCCACTTGTAGTGTAAACAATGTAAATACTGTGTATCTGTGCTGCTATAAAAAATATTGTATCCCTGCTGAACAATAACAGTTTAAACCAGCATAAGCTAGTCTTTCTCAGTCTGATTTAAAAAAAAGTTTTTTATCTCAATGGGACCTTCCTGGTAAAATAAAGGATACATTTATGTTTTTTAGCTGGTCGACCAGTTGAAAAATGTCCAAACACCCTTCTAAAACCATCTTTACCAGGCTAGAAGGCCAGCTGAGACCAGAACAACAATTTAGACTGTTTTTTTTTTATCTGTTTTTCCCCCCATCCCAATTAGCTCTGCACACCAACAATGACCTAGCCTTTGGGGCTGGGCTATTTGTTTACGAGTCAAAATCTGCTAAGGGGTAATTAAATGTAACATATCACGTAAAAAATTGTCATCTTTTATTGCAAAATCTTTTAAACAACAGAGCAATAGTGATCAAATGACATCTTATTAAAATCACCTGTCAAGTTTATAATATACATTATTTGATGCATTCGGTGCCCATGAGTGTTATGTCGATGTTTTTAGTTCTAATATTCCAACCGACAGCCAGCCTAAGTTTTTGAAGGATCTAATAACGTGCGTAACTGTTTGATTTTTGGGTAATTATAAAACGTGCAAGAGACGTTCAAAATGTTTCGGATTGTCAATTTTTTTTTTACTTTCAGCTGTCGCAAATTCATTGACTTGAAAATCAAGTAAATTTTTTACCATAAAAGGAAGGGTTTTGATGCACAAAGCTGTTTATATATAAGCTGTCTCTTATAACAAAAAATATTGTATATATACATTTAAACCCATGAACATGCAGATCCTGTTGTAAATGATGCAGATTTTGACTCTTACACCGTTGACGAGTCGCATCACGCGGGAACAGCTAGAAGCTGTCTACACTGGACGAGACAAAGCGACCGTTGCAAATCCATTTGTCCTTCCTATGAGAAGTATCACAAGTGCTTGAAGTACGTCAAAAATAGAACGAGGCATCGGTTTACTGTCGGGTCACACCCCATCACTGATTATAATGGGTTCTATTGTCTTTTGTTGCGTCGCATCGCGCTGCTTTAGCTGGTTTAAACTGGTCTCCCAGCCTGGTTTATCTTGTTTAGCTGATCAACCATTTGAAAAGTGCCCAAAACCTTTCTAAAATCAACCAAAAGACCATCCTGACTGGCATAGAAGACCAGCTTAGACTGGTTTTTAGCTTTTTTTCTATCACAACCAGCCCTGCAGAGCAAATCTGACAACACATTTGGATGTGCATTTGGGGATAAACTATCAGTTTTGCACATATACTTTTGCATACAGATGTGTCTTGGTACCTGAGGAGCGGTCGCCGCAGATGGCACAGATGTGTTTGGTGAGGGAGAGGGGGGTGCACGAGGGCTGGGCTGGCACCTTCATCACACCGTTGATGCCCAGGGGCGGCTTGATATCTTCTGAGCTGCTGACAGAGTTCATGGGCGAGTTCAGCTGAAAAATATACGCAAACAAACACCACATATCATTTAAACACGTCAACATATCATCTCTAAAGGCCTGGGTGAAAGCGAGCTTGAGTTCCACAAGGCCCTGACTTTTCTGTCAATTACTTCAGAACGGGGCCAGACTCGACCTGATGGGTCAGCGTTGAGATTTCAGATTGATTTTGTGCCGCGAGACAGGTTCTCTCATCTGATTTCGCTCTCTCTCTTCCTTTCTCACAATGCAAGTACACGAAATGGATGCTGAGTGTGTCCCCAGCCTCATTTTTTCATATCTAGTACCAGCAGTGCACATGTTCTATGCTAGAATAGCGGCAATAAAATATTTAGCGGGACAGTGGAATAAAGACGTGGTTCTGTTCCTCTCTCTTTCTCTCCAAGCTAAAATGTGTCTGGCGGGCCTCATCCAGACATTTATTTTCTCTCGCATGAGTATTTTGAATGAAAAGCACAGAGAAACTCAAAATTACTTTGGAGATGACAGCTAAAAAAAATCTAAATTCATCACAAATGTTTATTATTCAATGTGAGCCAATGTTTTTGTGCACATTTTATTCAGTCATTCTAAGGTAATGACACACCAATTGAGCAAGAAGCAATCACAATAACAGATACATCCTGTTCATTTCACTCTACACATGTTCATTTTCAATTACACACTTTAATTATATCAGTCACACATGGGTTTTGAGTAAATGAATGTTGCCGACGGGTAGACACTCTGCCTAAGGATCCAACAGGCTGTTCTGAAATAAAAAAAACCCTGACAGATGCTATCTTGGCTATTATAAGAAGTGTGGTCTCTCTGCATTGGTAACTGTGATGTCCGCATGCATTTTTATTTCTTTTGCCATTTCATTTATAATATAGTAGATGTTTAGCAAAGGACAGATTTTTGGGAGGCATGACAGACTTAGTAAAGACCTTGGGACTGTGTGCGCTCTTGGCCACGAGACAGAAACACTCAACTGAGAGCCTCTATAGTCTTGTTCTCATGCTTTAGCCCTGCTAGCAGTCAAACTAGTGAGAGGGGCCTGATAAAGACCCCATTTAGACCAAAAGGAGCATCGTCACTTCCCACTTCACACCAAGGCTGTGTGTTGATGTGAGTATGTGAGACATGCAGACTTGCTAGACTTCTGCGGAGTGCCATATAGCTAGAGGACACTGGACACAGACAGACCACTCTAGCACTATTGAATTGCCACCACAATGTCATTTCCATCACTTTTAAAAAGATATATTGTGTTTAACAGCATTCTGTGATGTCAACATTTATTTAATTAAATGGCAGACTCCTTTGTCTTTCTAATGTTTATTTCCCAGCTAGAATTTTGTGGATCTTTAACAGATAATTAAATATTTTATACACTTAATTTGACAAACGATAACAAAATATCCTGTCCAAGTGATATTTATTTTTCTTTGTTTATAATCACACATCACGTTTCATATTTCATCTTAAGTTTTTAACTGACAGTTTTCTCCTAGGTAAAAGCACAGCAATCTTTGATGAAACTTTCCTAGTTTTTATCAGTTGATTAGTAAATATCTAACTTAGATTGTTAGTTAGAAATAATTGGTTGTAGTGAAAATTACTCAACTGGGGGTCAGTTTTTAGGTTCTCATATTTAAAAAAATATGTTTTTTTTTATAACTGACTTTCATGTTTTAATATATAAAAAATTTAAATCTACATTAAATAATAAAAAATAAAAAACGATGAAGACGACATGATAAAAAATCAGTTTTAATGTGACCATATATATATATATATATATATAGATATACTCTATCAGTTTTAGTAATAAAAAGTGCCTGCACACACCCCTTAAACTCATACATGGACACACAGTAAAGACATAGCCTAAGTCATTACACTGATAACCACAACATGCCTTGAATACAGAGACTGCTGCTAATACTCAATGCTGAAACGAACAGACCAACTGCACAAAAAAGACAAACCAAACTAACAAAAACACTCAAAGATTGAATCTTTGTCAAAAACATGATTAACACTTCTGAAAAATGCTCCTCTTTCATTCTGTATGATTCATTCCATCAGTCAAAAAACTAACAGGCAAAACACTGTGGACAAAAGCCCCTGTACTTTCACTCTGCTTGATTTATGATGTCAGAAATGTTCATTGTCCTTGAAAAACACTGAAGGCACTCAAGGCTGTAGAGGCCGTAACAGTGCAGCCCATTCTGATGGAGAGAGGTGTTGGTCATGAGCGAGCAAAGAAAGGATGGGCGCAGTAAATTACACATGCCATCCTTTATTTGAAGGTTGTCAGTTTAAGAGAAATAAAACGCCTTTTGTTATGAACTTTTGTCTGGGTGTCTCCAATGAAAACCTTAAAAATGCTCATGCTAACAACATTCAAATAATCATCGGGAGAATTCACAAAGAATGAACTGAGCCTGCTGATAGAGCCATTTATTTTCACACTAGCTGCGTTTCCATTACCCTTCAAATTGTGCAAAGTGAAACTGCGAATTGAAAATACGCCCAATGGAAACACGTCAATTTAGCAAAAACTCCCATATATCGCAAAAATGTTTTTACGCTCGCAATAAGGTGGTTTTTCAGGCAATTCGAAAAAGGAATATTTCGCAAACCTGCAATGGAAATTTACAGCATTTACAGGTCACCTGGCATACGTAAAAGTCGATCATTCTTTAAAGAAGGAAAGGCATGTTTGGACAGAAGACGATACTTATTAAACTAATAAAAGACAAAAAAATTACGGGATTACTGGATTCTAAAAACCAAAGAAATGCCACAATTGATCAAGACCTTGAAGCAGATAGAAGGGAGAAACACCCAGAAACACCTCATACCACTCCCAAGTTTAAGGGGCTTTCCTTGCCATTAATGCTTGGATAACATGCCTACGTCTCCTTTGATTAAAAATAATGGCTAGAGCGGTGTTTGCGATATACGTAAACCTAGGAACATCCGTTGCCATGATTTTTGGAATGACTTATCGCGAGAGGAAAAAAATAGGTTTTACTCGCATAACATCGGTTAATGGAAATGCCGTCATTTCGCAATAATTTTTTACCACCTTGTTGGTCTTCACCTGGTTACCATGATAAAGAAAGGTTGAATACAAATGTCTTTTAAAATAAAATAATCTAAAATAACATGAAATAAAGGATAAAATAAAACAAAGTAAATAAATAATAATGAGAAAATATTAGTGCAATGTAGAGCATGGTGCTAGCAACGTCAAGGTCACAGGTTCAATTCCCACGGAATGCATAAACTGATAAAATGTACACATTGGATGCAATGTAAGTTGCTTTGGATGAAAGTGTTTGCCAAATGCATAAACATGAAATTTCTAAATCAGCGTGTAGAGTTTTCATTAAAAAAAAGAGGCATGTGAAAAACACTGAAAAGATTGACCATGACAAGATGAAGGTTTAAGTTGAAATACTGCATGCAAAAGTGACGCAACTGAATTAATTCATCCGTCAGTCTCTCACACTTGACCTATGCACACATTGTGTGTTAGTTCACAAACAAAAGCAGCTGTTAAAATGAGCCTCAGTCTCCACTTCATACCTCAGTTTCTGTTTTGCTGGACCTCTGTGGTTCGTCTCTATCAGATGCAGAACTGTACTATCAGAGGACTCTATCACAGTATGGCTATTTTCAACATGCAACTCAATCTGCCCAAACTCCCTCTCAATGCTGTATTTGTGTGTAGGGTTGTATGTGTGTGTGTGTGTGTGTGTGTTACAGAAGGATTAAAGGGTCTCAGTTCTGTGACTGTAAATAGAATAATCCTCCCTCCCATACATGATCACGCACTCTTCTTTGAGGGATAGGGTGTCAGACAAGTGCCCCGAGTAAAAACAGCATGATCAGCCAGCCGTGCTGTGACACTTAAGCTGTACGGAGAGGAGGGGGCATCCCAAAAGTTCAGACACAACATGTGCAAAGTACATGTACACACACACACACACACACACACTATGTAGACAAGTGGCTTTAAGTAGGTCATTTACATTTATGCATTTGGTAGATGCTTTAATCCAAAGTGACTTGCCTTACATTCAAGGTATAGCCTACATTTGATCAGTTTTTGCATTCCTGGGTATCGAACCCATGACCTTGGCATTGCTAGCACCATGCCCTACTGTCTGAGCTACAGGAAGACACAAGAGCTCATACTACAGGCCTGCTTTAGGATTGGATATTGAGTTTGATTTATTATTTAAAGATACGGTCCAAAAATCAAAACTTATGTAATTATATACTCAATCTCATTCCAAACCTGTTATATTGATCATATGTCCTATTAATAAATGTCCTGGCTCTTCCAAGCTTTATAATGGCAGTGGATTGAAACCAACAGATTGAAGCTCAAGAAGGTGCATCCATCCATCATAAACAAACTCCAAACGGCTCCTGTGGGTTAATAAAGGCCTTCTAAAGCAAAGCGTTGAGTTTGTATAAGAAAAATATTCATATTTAAAACATTATAAAGTAAAATAACTAGCCAAATGAACATACGGATCTGACTTAAGTGTAAAGCGCAACTTATGCGAGTAATGCGGCGAACTCCTGATATTTACGCTACGCCACAAGGCACAAGTAGACTGCGTATGGCCGTTTGGCTGGAAGCTAGAATTTTACTTTATAATGTTTTAAATATGAATATTTTTCTTACACAAACTCATCGCTTTGCTTCAGAAGGCCTTTATTAACCCACAGGAGCCATTTGGTGTTCGTTTATGATGGATAGATGCACTTTTTTGAGCTTCAATCTTTTGGTTGCAATCTATTGCCATTATCAAGCTTGGAAGAGCCAGGACATTTATTAATATAACTCCGTCTGAAAGAAGAAAGTTTGAGGTTGAGTAAATCATGGGCTAATTTTCATTTTAAAGTGAACTACTCCTTTAATAGTTCTGAACAGAAAGGCTTATTTGAAATTACATTAACTGGTTAATAATGTTATTGTATTGTTC